GGGGACAGGACGCCAGGCCCCGCGGAGGCCAGCCCCTGCCGCCCGCTGCCGCCGGGGACAGGTGGGCAGGGCGGCCTGGTGGGCAGGGCGGGGGGCCTGGGCCGTGCTCCTGCAGCCCCCGCGGAGCATCCTCCCTGGTCAGCACCAGCACAGTAAAACATAACCCGAAAAGCAAAGCCAGCGCCTCACGTGCAGCCGCTGCCGCCAGAAGACGGGTTCCCCGGGCTGACGGGGTGGGGGCAGCACGCAGAGCTGTCCCCAGAGCCACCGCCTCTGCGCCTCCGGGTCACAGGGTTTCTCCTTGTGACGTATCGGCCTCTCTTCTAGGCTTTTCTGTCCCCCAGAAAGCTTTTATATCCCTGGAGGCCACATCCTGCGTGGGGACACTTGCCTGACCTCCAGTGACTTTCTGGGTACTTGAGCCCGAGAGGTGAGCAGGACCCCTAGAACGCACCCAGACCAGGGGGATGGTCTGCGAGAACGGCAGTGACTGTCCCCTGTCCCCAGCCGCCCTCGGGCAGGGCAGCACGTGAGGCGTCCCCTCTTCCCAGGTGCCGTCTGGGGAAGGCAGGCGAGTCAGTCCTCCGTCGGCCCAAGTGGACGGGTTAGGAACCAGGAGGCAAGGACGGAAGTGTGTGCTGCCTGCGGGCTGCGCAGTCACGGGCCGTGCTCCAGGATGGCCGGGGTCCCCGCTGGAGTGACCGGTCAGGAGGGGACAGCCAGTGGGCGGAGTGGGACCTGCCGCTGCGAAGGCTCCATGCCTTAGGCCTCCCCGTCCGCCCTCGCTCAGCCAGCCCCCCGTGGCGATGGTCGGGACGTGGGGACAGACCGTAGCGAGGGTGCGCTGGTGGACGCAAGGCGCACCCCAGTGGGCAGACGTCCTCGGGGCACCCGGTGTCCAGGAGTCGCGAGGCCCGTCCTCCTCGCTGTCAGGTTATGGAACTCAAGCCCGGTTTGGGTCGGTCTGGGCCGGGAGCCCGGTCGGAAGTCCCAAATCTATCCACTGGCCGTGCCCATGGGCAGGTCCTCATCTGTGACACAGGCCGATCTGACTGCCCTCGGGGACCCAGCGCAGAGCTGCCATGTGACACCGTGACGGCGCATGTCACGTGCTGGGCTGCAGTGAGGGCTGCACTCCAGGGCTTCCCCTGCAGACAGGGGCGCCCACACTTTCCCTGCAGACGACCACACCCCGGCCCCCCCTGGCTGCCGTGGAGGGAGGAGCAGAGAGCCGGGCTCAGCTCACCCTCCCACCCGGGGCTCGCCTGGCGGCTCCTGGCAGCGCCGCTCGTGCGCTCATGAGCACAGAGCCAGCAGGCCGCCCCCCCCCCGCC